TCTAGGTCTCCCCAGCGGTCTCTTCCCCTCAGGCTTCCCAACCAGTACCCGGTGCACACCTCTTGTCCCATCCATGCGCGCCACATGCCCAGCCCATCTCATTCTTCTCGACTTAATCACCCTGACAATATTGGGGGAGGAGTACAGATTTTTCGAGTTTTTCATAATTTGTCTTCGTTGACTTTAATTACAAAACGTTTTCTTTCATCTGACAAGATGGATTTCTAAATTCAAATCGCGAATTACCGTTAATTCTTGTAAACTGAAACGAAAGTTCAAAATATTACCGCCTGTTGAACAGTGGCGCACAGGAGAGTTTTCCGGTGGCTTCCTTACCTTGTAGGTTCCGAGGTTCTTGACAGAACAGGCAAGTTTCACGTTGCGTCCAGCGGGTACTGTAACATTCTCGATCTGCTCCGTGAACTCCGGTTCCTCCACGGCCACTAAAACAGACAGAAACGCAAGTTGTTGAACCAGTTCGATGACACGGAATATTCTTGAGCGGCAGAGAAGTGGGGTGAGGAGAGAGAGGGGTGTGGAGTGGAGAGGAGCGAACTCGGGCCCCTGGTATCAAGCGGTTGGACGAGGAACGAGGTTTCACCTACAAACAGTAAATCACGTCACCGTCTGAACAGCGTCAGAAGATTTAGTGCGGGCTCCTACAGCGACAATTGCCCACTGGGCTCATGACAGATGGGCACTGACAATTCATCCCGCCCACGCAAGCTACCTGTGTACTAGTCTTTCTAAAAGAATCTGTCCTAGTGGTACCAGGAACACGCATGGTTCAAATCTCAACCAGACCATTCTGAGTCTTACCCAGTTTCCAAACATATCACCAAAGATTCTTTCCAAATCTTTGGATATTAAACAGTAATTAGGTTTGTATTCTCGTCAGGGACCCACATCAGTGGATACGGTGAATAGCACCTCAAAGGTACCTCAGATACCCAGTGCCTGGGCCACCCTACCTCCGGGGGCTGTAAATACGGAGGTCTGGTCGTCCAGGTTGGGGGTTGGGCGTGGGGACAACCCCACCCTGTAAAAAGCAACTGCCGGATGTACTCATGATGATGATTAGCTTCCAATTGAGGCGAAATTCCACGTTTTCACGGGTACCAATTTGAAGATGACTTGTCATTTGTAATGCTGCACCCTCGAGTGTGGAAGAAGTTTATTGATGTTTCAGAGGTGTTTGCCGCCTCCACCATCAGGGTTCTGATGATAGAGTCTCCAAGCACCTCTACAGGGTTGGTAAATTCGTATCATACTACACGACACAACATATCAGAAGACAGTCTTCCTCAACTTCCTATTCAATTCAATGGTATATAACCTGTGTAGCTGAAACCGAGTCATTAAACGACCTAAGAATTAATAAAACCACATTTTCTACCCAAAGTTGTTGATTAAGCCACGTCAGGGTTCTACCGTCAGTCACGAGATATGAGGCTAACATTTAGATGGTCTACGTGACGATGGAAGCAGCAGGTTCATCCGTGATGTTAGCACCCAGTTACGACTCTATGATAGTGTCATAACCCTCAAGACCACAATTTAAAATGGAGCTTTCTCGTTAGTTCTAATTCTGCTTCGTTCGAGACTAATCGATATTAAACAACGTTGTTCGATACGATGTCAGAGGGAAAACAATTGTAACTTGGTTGTTTCAATGAATCTGTAAGTAGCATGTCGGGTCCTCCCACAAAGAGAACTTCTTTGTAAGAATTCGCTGTTTAATGATGTCTGGGAAAACATTTGCTGTTTGTTCTGAAAGCGAGACTTGTATTTACCTACTGTACGCAAAATACGGAGTTATCTTACGTTAAAAATTTAGTACAAATACTTGCCACGTTCCTCTAAAACAAATTCAACGATATTGTGATACGAGACTTTTCTTTCAAAGTGAAACTCTACACTAATAACAAACAGCTTTATGTATTATGTAAGGCACCATCTACTTTCTTTTTATCATATATTTATAAAGTCGTACGGGAAAGGTATCCTTTCTAACCGATATTGTCAGTAATGGCCTGGAAGCACGCCTCGAAGTCAAATCACATTTCTGGGAGCATATTGACAGTTTGAAAGTCAACATAGATAGAAACATGAAAACGAGTAACAGAAATACGTCAGGGGTTTGTTTGCTACAAACTCTGTATCGATCAAATAATGACAAGTTTACCTTGGCTGTAATCACACAGATGTTGCCTGCGTTAATGCAGTACGCGAAGATGGGTATTTTCTTAAAAATATTGCACAGGAAAAAGGTGTCGTAACAGCTTTGCATGCATTACGTGTGGGTAAGAATTTGGAACTTCAGAGTAATGGAAATTAGCTAAATTACGTGTTAATCAAACCTCATTATATATGGTCAGTTTCACAAAATATAAACAAAACTGTTTACACTTTGAAGGACACTAATGTCAAACGCGTTTCGACCTCAAGATGTCATCATCTGTGGTCAGAAGATTTCCCAGATGTAATGTTAGTATCACAATAAGTCCTTCGTACTCTTTAACACAGCTTTTACCAACTTTGTGACTTTTCCGATCTGAAAATTTACTTTGAAGCTGTTCTCCTATCTTATATTTTTGCTCCATAATCTTATAATTTCCTTTCATCTTCAGCGGAATGTTTAAACACATTTTATCCAAATTACATTTCCGTAATTTCTTCCTTGGTGTCATCTTTTGAACACGTAACTTACGACCCCCACTAACATGACTTTTCAACGTTTTTGACGGATATAACCGGTCATAGTAGTCACGAGGTTTGGGGTGACGGTCTTGATCGTTCGGACACGGATCATGAGTTTGTATACGGCATTGAACCTTTGCCTCGTCTTTCAATGCTGTGCTGTCCTGCGTAGGTACAGTCCATCTTGACAAGCTGATCCCCCATCCAAGGAGTCCCGCTAGATTTCTAAGAATACACACAGACGCACATATGATCTTCGCTGGTGATCGACTGCATTAATTTTTAAGGAACCTGAGTTTTGACTTGTCTTTCGTATTGAACATTTCTACCACGCACCTTCTGAGTTTAAAATTTTTCAATCTATGACTTGAATACTGTTAATGAAGACTATAAAATGATTAAGTAAAGACTAATAACAAATGTCTAGAGTCTAGATTTTCGTCTCAAACTACTAACTTAAGAAAAATAACATCCATTACAACACACATGTAAATCAACAGAGATAAGAGATTACGAACTGAGTCGTAAAACATATTTCCTGGGCTAATATCGCCTCGCCTTCTTAAAATGCACAACAGTAATTAATCCACTGCCAAACTAGAAAACCACACACCAATGACTTCATTAGCTGACGTTAACTCTAAAATATCGAGACAATGCTTATTCAGAAAGCAATCCGCGCTTTTCCGTGTCGCAATATGAACAATTTTCAATGGGTTATATCGAAATCCGGCAAAATGTCATTCGAGACTCTGGTTCAAACTGAATGAGCTGTGTGGGAGATAATATCAGTAGACAGAGTACGAACAAAGGTCTGGGGAACTTGTTAATGAGACAGCGAGACGGACAGCCAAACGACAGGTTTGTGTGTACTCACGACTCGAAAATCGTTACACAAGACATCGATCAAGCACGAGAACGCGTTAAGGCTTTGACCGGGATGTTCTTTTGTTAAATCTTATGTGGTACCGCCTGATTCGACTTCTAATGGTTAAGTGAAGTGTTTTCTTCGCGGTACGGACTGAATTCTTTAAATAATATTTAGACGAGCTTCGGCTTCAAAGGGTTAAGAATAACTCGGACGCAAAAATACAGACAAAATTGAGGTTACTTTCGTAGTATAAACCACAGTTATCATTAACGTAAGAAATTTATTTTAAAATATGTTATTAATTCATTGCCAAAAGTTTATTTTATATGCAAATCTTAATCCGTAAAAAAAACCCAAAGCTGAAAATGTTAATAATTTCCATAATTAAAAGTGTAATATCAGAAAATGTGATAAAAATTGTAAGAATTTTTTTTTTATAATTCACATCACTATCATTGGCGAATCCTGATCTATAAGCCAGGTCACAATGAAAATCAATATTATCAAATTCCGCAAAAACATTGCCATATTGATAATATTAATATTAAATAACCATTATTATGCCACTGATTACCACCACTTTAACAAATGTAAATATTTAACATAAACTAAACTATAAAGTTTCTTTAAATAGATTAGGCAGTGCAGTACAAAAGGGTCACAGCTTCAAAGAATGTTACTCCACTCGTAACAGACTGTTATTATCTGGATTAGACAAACAATGACACGACCTCGCCGCCCTTAACAGACAGACTGCGTTCGCTAGCTTTCCCACTTCTCCGTCTCCTCGTCGCAGAAACATGGCGCAAGGCGCAAGGGAGTGAAGTCTCTCCTGGCGCTAATGTAATTTAGAAGTCTTCTCGAATAAATCCCTTCCACTCCTTTGCCTCACTCTCTTTTTCTCCTCCTTGAACCGTATTATCCAGTTCTCTTTACAAAAGAATTCTGTAAGGACTTGTCAGAACCAGTCGGCAGTTTTCAAAATCTAACCTTCCACGGTAGTCGTTAAAAGCCTTAAAATTTTTGCAAAATTTATTTAACAAAAAGATACAAAGTCCATTTTTTTGTATCATATGGCATGTAAACAAACGTTTCATTCAGTTAGATTATCCTAATATGTTGTTCAAACTTTTT